AAAAAAAAAACACTCATTCAAAAAAAAATAAATAAATAAATAAAAAATAAAAGAAAATGCTGATTTCTGGTGATCCAGCAGCTGGAGGGACTTCATCTTCCCCAATTACACTCAAGGTAAAAGTTTAGTACCAAAATTCAACTTTATTTGTGACTGCATTGTAGTAATCAGCTGATATTTTTACCATAAGATCAACATATTTACTATTATTTGGCAAGCTTAGCACACTCATGTCCTAATAGGTGCCAAGGTTTCTTGATCCCTCTCTAAAAGTCAAGCAGTGGTTACTACATGACGTCGTAGGTGTCGTTCATCCACGGAACATTACTATCTAGGGGTCTCTAGGATACGGCCTCCATTCATTCTATTTGTACCAAAAAAAAAAAAAGTTAAGGATAGATTGAAATCTCCCAAATTTGGTGTTAATTTGATCACAATCTGTGCATCTTTTATTTTTATTTTTTTGGTATTTTGTGCACTGTTCAATTTTTGCAAACTGACGCGTGTCCGTACAGTTCGTGGATGTCTCGTACAGCGTGAAGCTGCATGGCGGCGGCGCGAAATCCTCACCTCCAGCAGACATCGAGAGCCCGCCGGAGATCCGCCACCGGTCACGCGCCATCCTGAGCGGCATCACCGGCTGGGCGTCCCCTGGCCGGATCCTGGCCGTGCTGGGACCCTCCGGCAGCGGCAAGTCGACCCTCCTCAACGCACTCGCCGGCCGCATCCAACGCGGCGTTTCCGGGACGGTCCTCTACAACGGCCGGCCCGGCCCCACGCGCCACGTCCTCCGGCGGACTGGTTTCGTGGCCCAGGACGACGCCCTGCACCCCCACCTCACCGTCCGGGAGACGCTTGTCTTCTGCGCGCGGCTGAGGCTCCCGGCGCGGCGGGCCTCCCCGGGGGAAGAGTCGGCGGCGGAGGCCGCCGAGCGGGTGATGTCGGAGCTCGGCTTGACCAAGTGTGGTGACACGGCCGTCGGGGGTGTGTCGGGTGGGGAGAGGAGGCGCGTGAGCATCGCGCGCGAGATGCTGGTGGACCCGAGCCTTCTGGTTCTGGACGAGCCGACGTCAGGGCTTGACGCGACGGCGGCTTACCGGCTTGTGGCGGCGGTTTCGGCGGCGGCGAAAGCGGGGAGGGGGAGGACGGTGGTGATGTCGGTGCACCAGCCGTCGAGTCGGGTGCACCGGATGTTCGACGACCTGCTGGTGCTGTCGGAGGGTCGGAGCATATATTTCGGGACGGGGTCGGAGGCGATGGCGTATTTCGAGAGTGTGGGGTACGCGCCGGGATTCGCCATGAATCCGGCTGATTTTCTGCTTGATCTGGCTAATGGTATGTACTCATCTTTATCTTTTAGTTTGGCGCTTTTTTTTTCGTATAATTAATTGTGAGGCTGCTGTGGATGATGATTATGATTGATTTGGTTAAAAATTAATTAAAGGTGTGTTTGATAGATTAATAATTTATTTAATTCATGTATAAGTTTTCTCCGTTCAAATAATTTTAGTTGGGAAGGAGGACGAACTTTTTGGAAAAATTATCTAAGTATGTGGACTTTAGTTTTACCAAATACTTTTATCACATCAATTTTAATCTATTACCCATAAACTCGAAATTTTCTTATAAGCTAGTTTCAGTTTAGTTTATTGGACATAACCCAAACATGTTAATCAATGCGAATAAAATATGAGGTGATTGATATAGTTGAAACGAATATTGTTCCAACTGGTGTTGCTAAGCGAAATGAGCCGATCGTGAACTCAGCTCACTCGAGAAACGAGCCGAACTCGAGTTAAGACTTGAAAATAGGAGTTTTATGTAATTCTTTATAGTTCGCCAAGTTCGAGTTTGAGTATTAAGAGTTCAAGCTTGGGGTAACTTGACTCGGCTCGGCTCGTTCACACTTGTAGTCGACATATAGGGCATAGCTTTTAGGGTCTAATATCTATTTACTAAAAATAGGAATAGTTAGATGCATGATATGTGGGCATTGAGTTTTTGTAGGCCTACAATAATGTAGTTTAGAGGCAGCCATGTTTTGCAATTAAGCCCAATTTGGCATCTGTCTGGAACTTTGCCGACCTAACACACCTAACTTGTTAGCATATAAATCCAGAAAATTTTATGCTCTTTATAATAATTTTGGTTAATTTTGAGCTTAGTTAATAATTGCGTGTCATACATTTTTCGGTATAAATTAGTTGATTGAATTTTTCAAGTGACTAGTTGAACAATTTTGGTTTGCAAATATATATAAGATACTAATACAGATACTTGGAGATGTTTCGGTCCCGTTACGGAACCATCCCGTCTGGGTTTTTAACTGTTATATCAACTATCCCTGACGCTTACAAATTCCGATGGTTTCGTAATGGGACCAAAACATCTCCCTAAGATACTAAGACCAACTTTGTATATGTACTATACTCGAGATATTTTGTGAATTTGAGATTTGAAGTTGACTCGAATATGAAATTTTTCAGACGACTTCTGTACAAATTTTAAATATTTCTGCACAAGTTGTATTGACAACAACATTTGTGAGGAAAAAAACACAATATATGTCCGGGCATACATTAAATGTTATTGTCTTTTCAGCACTTGCAAATTTGCAATTAGATCTTTTCAATCAATTTAAATTAAATGTGTGTGACCATAAGTCCATTTCAGGTCATCTAAATTTGAATATGGCTGGGGAAAGTTAATTTTGATATATAATTTATTTTTTTATTTATTAAATTCATATATACTTATATAATATTTTTCGGTCTCCTTAGCCATACTTTAACAGTCTCTTGAGATATTTTCCATATTGGGTTTGAAAGACAAGATATTTTATATTCAAAAATTTTATCATTGTTTAATTCATTGTTTTCGAACGATTAAGCAGGGTTCGAATACCATTTTGAATTATGTGAATTTTTTAGATCGTTAAATCTATGTTTACATACCCACACAGGTGCCTGTGAATTGAATGGTAAAATACTCGATCACTGTCTGCAAGTTACCGGTAGGTTGAAACGAAGTTTTACTAACGTCCATTTTTTTTTTTTAATAAATTATACACTTTGACTAATTAATGGAGCAATATGGTTTTCCTAATCAAAAATTGTGGAGCATTATTGAGAATTGAATTGACATTTTTTTGGTGTTCATTAGATTATGACATGAGAAATTTGATTTATATATTAATTTGATTAGCTGATCCTTGCTAGGCTCTGATTATCTTGACCTATAATAGAAAAAAGGATTGAGAAAGGGACATGTTTGGCTCACACTTATAATAGATAGCATCTTATGATCATTAATAATTCATAGATGAATTTAATTTAATTTTAAAGCTATATTATTATCTTTTTTTTTTTTTTTCCTTTTATGTGTGTACATATGAATATCTTGAAGTGGAGTGGAAGTAGTTGTACTCTGGTGTGGCCACCTTTACCCATAGCCATAATCTTTAAATTCTTGAATTGACTCATAAATATAAAGCATCACTTTTTATCTTTCACAACAAAAAACATATATGCCCATTCTTTTGCTTGTGGGTTGAGATGAGAAAATATGTGTCATTCATGATGTGCTAGGTCTATGTTAGACTTATTACAAATATTATATATATTTTATATATACAATAATCGAAGTTCATAAAAAAATAATTAATTTGATATATTATATATAAAAAAATAATTAATTTGATATATTATATATGTAAAACCGATAAAAAATACAAAAGTTATCAAATTTTAAAATAAATGTACAATTCAGTATAGTTATAATAAGAAATGATATTAAAATATAATTAATACATCTCAAATGATTATAAATAAATCAAATGGTAATCCGAAACTAATTATTTTTAGATTAAAAGTAAATTAAAATTTATCCAAGCTTAATAACAAATCATGTAATTTTGACATATAAGATTCCAAAGTATGCGAGCCTGCCACTCAGGCTCAGCACGTTCTGAATTAACATATAGGGAAATTGGATTATCATGTGTGATGAATTTTTAATATTTCCAATATTGTATTTAACAAAACTATAATTCATTGGTCATTAATTTATCATCATCATAATTAGAGTTGTAACTGAGTCGAGTCAAGTTTGATATCATAATGCTCAAGCCTTTATTTATCCAACCTTGACTCGTTAATTAAATGAGTCGATAAATGAGTATTGTCTTGACCCATTTATTACCATCCCTTTTGGCCATGATAAAGAGTATTTATCATTTAAGAATGATATGGAATACAAATTGACATGCTCCTTTGCATGAAATTGGTCTGGGTGAGAAGTAACTCTTTTATGTGCTACAATAGAAGTTATAGTAGTTGAATTAATTAAAATATAAGATCATTGGAAAAAAGAAAAATGAAGGTTGATTATTTGATGTTCAAACTCAAAATACAAAGTAGGGTTGATCATCGAGGTGTAAACTACCTGAATCGAGCTCAAGCAAGCATTTATCTTGGCTAGCCTGGTTGAGCTCGAGCATTAACGAGTTGAACTGTAGGAAATTATATAAAATATCTTCTATTTTCGAGTTAACTAAAGGAGTCTGAGCCGTCTTGGCTCGTTTATCTAACGAGTTGAGCTGAGTTCACAAACGGCTCGTTCCGGTTAACAGCTATAATCACAGTGAAGACACATATAAGATTGAAAGTCTAATGAAGCTACCAAAATAAAAGTAAAAGAAATTGAACTTTGTAAGAAGAAATGTACAAATTTCTTTGTTCTTGTTCTTGGCGAACAACAAGAGTAATCTCATTGGTTTATTTTGGTCATAAGGTGGAATTTGAAAAGCATTAATGACGGATTGAGGTGGGGATGCAAAAGGGTTGGCAAAATATCATTGGTTATTTGTGTTAAATTCAAGGTTTTAAATAGCGGGCTAAAACGTTTATGGCACTGTAGCTATAGCGGAGATTTAGCGGGATTTAGCGGCTAAATTGCACATGAATACAAATAGCGGCACGCTGTCAAAAAAAGCTATTTCTCAAATAGCGGCAACTTTAGCGAGCTA